GCATTATAAATCCGGTAAATAAAGCTGCATTATCGGATGATGCTCTGTTCAAAAATCCACCCTCACTTTCCCCCTCATTTTCTCAAATACCACGGCGAATCCAATCATTTTGGAAAATTGTTTCCTCCTCTTTCGCTTCCGAGTGCAAGACGTAACGACTCACGCCTGGAAACGAAAATGACACGCACAGGCAAGAGAACGAGAGAGAAGGCTTGAAGGCCCCCAGCCATCCGAGCGAGCCATCGCCACGGCGACGGTGAGCAAGGAAGACACTCCCCAAAAATCCCGAGGATGACGAAGGCGAGAGGAATTCCTGGAACTGCTCTTCCACGCTCGATCCCGTTTCCAGTTTTCATCGTGTCACGCACGGTCGTGAATGCGACCGCGTTCGTTTACTGTTGTGAAGACATAAGTGAAGAAAACCTCATTCTCGAAGAGCACGAAGGAAAAAAAAATATTTCCACATTTTTTTTTTTCGTGAAAATGCGTACTTCGCTTATTCTAGATCATGTCACTTATCTCGAATTTTTCCGCTGGTGTGCTCAAGTGTATGATAGAAATTAATAATCAATTTAAAAAATGTTGCAAGTATTTCGAGATGAGGGACGTGCGAGGATGGGAGCGTTAACTGAGGAGAAACCGTGAAAGTGCCCGCATCGCGGGAGAATGCAGACTCCGCATCCCTCATTCCCCTTCCTTCATTCTTGGAATCGCAAACAATCTCTGTCGACAGCTGCCTGCTCGGTGAATGAGCCGTGCGCGCGTCGAGTCTCGTGGGCCGGAAACCACGCCACGCTCTCGCGTCACTCGTACGCAATCTCTCGAAATGTTCCCCAGCCATCCCAGCAAGGCCATCCGAGCGAGCCATCGCCACGGCAACGGTGACCGACGAAGACATTCAACAAAATCCCGAGGAATTCCTCGCCCTGGCCTCCCACTCTCGATCCCGTTTTCCTGCTTCCATCGTAGCTCGCACGGTCGTGAATGCGACCATCTTCTTTGTACAGTCGTGTCGACAAAAGTCAGAAAAACCCCATTCGCGAAGAGCACGAGGAAAAATATACTTCCACACTTTTCTTGTTTTCGTGAAAATGCATACTTTGCTTATTCTAAGTCATGTCGCGTTTCCTGAGTTTCTCCACGGGTGTGCTCAAGGGCATGCTAGAAATTTATCGTCAGTTTCGAAAATATCGTAAGTAATTCGAGACGAGGGACGAGGATGGAAGCGTTAACTTAGGAGCCATTCGAATTTCAAGATTCACTTCCAGTGCGAGCGATGAAAAGCAAGAAGAGCCCGAGAAGAGACGGAACGTGTTTTCACTTGCATCCGCCCTCACGGAATATGCGGAAGCTGCCGTGCATACGAGATGCCATCCTGACGCCTTCCTCCACGTGTCGATCGGAAATCAAAGGATGAAAGGAATTCCACGCTCTGGAGGTGAAAGCGAGAGGAAGGTCAGTGTGACCCTGCCCGCGTCGCGGGAGAATGCAGATTCCGCATCCCTCATTCCCCTTCCTTCCAAATTGGAATCGCAATCATTCTCTCTCGACAGCTGCCAGCTCGGTGAATGAGCCGTGCGCGCGTCGAGTCTCGTGAGTCGGTAACCACGCCACGCTCTCACGTCACTAGTACGCAAACTCTCGAAATCTACCGTAACTCTCTCTGTCGTCAATCTTGCGTGAGATCTGGAAACAAAGCCGCATACCTACGAAGACTATTTAAACACGTGATGGGATCCGAGATGCTGAGTTCGGTCTGCTTCACTGGCAAGAACGAGAGTGGGGTAGTTCCTCGACCGACTCTGTACGAGTACAATTGACTCATTCGTGGTGCTTCCATTTCAATTGTCAAAATTGGAGTGCGAGCGTTCATACTTTACGATACGCTTACGTTTCTCGCGACACTTTATTAGCCTTGGGGCGATGAACGACGTCGTGTGTGACTATTTTAGTAATTAGGACTTCGTGTGCATGGATATGGGAAAAATACACCCTTCCCCCCCAAAAATTCATCCCTAGGGGAGGTAACTTTTAAGTCGTGCGTTCAGCATACCAACAACTAATGGGGCACCGAGTTTCATCTGAAACATCTGCCCGTCTCGCCGGTCGGGATATATCAATAGCATCTCTACAAGTTAAGATGAATTAAAATCGTCTCGAAATCTTAACTCCTGTATGTGGATAAAATCATGTTTGTTTATTGCAGGTCTCCCATCCCGAGTGCCTGCAATACATGCGTTTGGAGTGTGGAGATATCATCGGTGGAAGCAAAGGTCCTCGTTGACAGATTCTCAAGTGTTGTGGAATCGGGAAAAAAAAACTGAAGAGACCTCTGAAGAGAGCTTTGGTGAGCATCGTTCCGACGATATACAGTAGTTCAAGATGGTGATGGAAGTAAAAACCAACGAGGGTTTCATTTATGACCTCGTGGAATACATCGACGACATCGAAGTGCGCACAGAAGCGAAAGGTCCCCACGGCCACGAGATCGACATCGACGAGGAAGGAGGATTCCACAAGAAGAACGGGAAGAGGGTTGCCCAAGTGGCCAAGGGAGCCAAGGCGACCGTAGGAGGAGCTGCTGTGAGGTGGAATCTCTTTGCAGCCGACGCCGAAGGTCCACACGCCGGCGTGAAAGCCTACGGCAGACGCATTCCTCAGACACCGATCGCAGAAGTGGGAGCGATCGCGGAAGCGAGTCTCGGGAAAGCTGGAGTCACTGCTGGTCCAGTTCGCGCTGAGGTGAACTTGAACGTGAGCACGGGGGCGAAAGTCGGCACCACGGGGATAGCGGCGAGCTTCCTTGGATTCGGATTTTCTGTTGGATCTATCACGGCCATCAGAACGCCATTCGGTTCTCTTGGAATTAGATTCTGAGTCGATATGGCTGTATTCCGAATAAATAAATTTCTCGAAGTACCGATTTATCTGTGTCATTGCACTAGTAGCACTTTCAGCTCGCCAGATGAAACGACAAACTCTTGCTATTTTTCTCTGAAGGTCGACACGACCATCGAAGAGCAAGAAAATCGTCATGCAATGAAATGAAAATAAATCGACCGGCTGGATGCTTTGGCTGCGGAAGATCGTAGTTCTGAACGGCCCCAGCGAACGCGTTACACCGAGTGGACCGAGTCCCCAGTTCCGCGCAGGAGCAGACGACGCCAGCGCTAACTGGTCGTGGACGGGGAGCCCTCGAGTTCGGGATGCAATGCCACTGCATGCCACGTGCTTCCGTCCTCGACGAAGGGCTGTAGAGGGCTTCCTTGCTTCTCCCTCCTTCGTCTCGAAAACGTTTCGGTTAACGAAAGATTCTGCCCAAACGAGATTCGTCGTCCAGAGTCTGCCCTGCCAGTGGTATCATTTTGTGGCTTTTCGACCACGTTTAATCGAGATAAACGTAGGCAAAGGACAAGGCCTCTATCGTGCACCTCTCTTTTCATCGGACGCCGTTCTTCTCCTTCCTTCATCTTGACTGACACGATCGACGAAAAATCACTCTCTGACGAGATTTGCAGCCGAGATTCCACCCTATCCGGTGGTATTGATGTTGAAGTCGTGCGCCTTCATTTCAGTTTTACAGTATATTCCTCTACGGTGTTTCTCAGCGAGTTTCCCACGTCTCTCGGAAGGACCCACCCCCCCCTCGAAACGAATCGCACGCGTTCCATGACGTTTCGTGCTTTCCTCCACTCCTCCGGTGCCGCTCGGAACGTCGAGACCGCGAGACGATCCCGATGGGAACCGTGTCCGGGACCCTCGAAACAACGGCGTGTGTGATTCCCAGGTTTCTTCGGAGAGAAACGAATTGATCGGTCTGACATTGCGTTCATGTTTGTGCTGGGCGTTTTTTCCACGATCGAACGAAAGCTCTCTTCTCGGAATCGTATTCATCTCATGTTGGGTTGGAAGTTTCCCACATCATTTACGCAAGATCCTCGGAATTTTTCTCTGTAATCGCTCAGTAGCTCGAGTTTCGTTCTCCGGCCATCTGGTGAAACGGATCGCAGTCGCTTGGGATAAAATCGCATCTTCTCGCTAAAAATCAGGGGATTTAAAAAGGGGGATTTAATTTGCGCGGAAATCGGTGAAGCCGCTCATTGACCGCCTTCCACTGTTTCCATGGCCGCGACCCCTTGGAAACAATGGAGCAAAAAAAAAGCAAATCCAAGCATCGCAGAGAAAGCAAACATCCCTGCCCCCCTTGCCCCCCTTGCCCCCTCCCCCTGCCCCCCCTTGACCCACTCATGCTTGCCCTGACTCCACCGGCCGCGTTACCTCATGCATCCTCGCTGACTTCCAGCTCGAGTGCCTTCATCGCGTGACCAGCATGGCCGACTTCAACACGGCTTTCCTCCTCGCTTCTTTTCTTCTCTCTCATCCGGTACTTCTCCTCCATTATCGTCGTTAAGTACTGACTGAATTAAATTATTTACGAAATTAGTAGGTCTGCGCTGAGGAAGTGGACCGGTTTAGGCCGGTCATATGACCCCCTTGGAAAACAGATTCACTCCTTCTCAAAGTGGGCTAGGTGACCCATAAAACCGCGGAGACACCAGGAACCCAAACAAAAAAACATGTCACGGACTCTCCGCGAAACATGTCATGTACTCTCCACGAAACATGTCATGGGCTCTCCACGACCTTGAAACGCAGGTCTCCCCATCCGCCCCGCCATTCGAGGCCGCTGCAGTGCGAAATTGCTGATTGGAAAAATAGCTGACCGCAGGCTTCCTTTCGTGTCCTAATCCCATTATGAGAAACGGTTCAAAGAGAAACGGCTGGCATGAAATGCCTTTTTCCACAATGGAGATATGGTTGCGTACATATGTCACAAATGAGATTCATCCGTCACAAATGAGATTCATATCTCACAAATGACATTAATTTGCCGTAAATGATGTGTATGGGTCCCAAACGAGCTCATTTTGGGGATTGAAAGCGTGAGAAATCCCCAAAAAATCTGAAATGCGATTATCTCGGGATGAACCGGGGATTAACTAACGATTAGCCCGTTTTGATCCCCGAAAGAAGAAATTCACGTCCGCGTCCCACACTCACCAATAACGGAAACACGAGTTAGTCACATTTTAAAGCCTCGTGGGCTTCATGGTTGCAATTGACCCCCATGGTTTCAATTGAAAATTTGCATTGCGGTCTCGAGCTTTAGGAACGCGTCGCTCTCGCGACAGGTTGCCGCACTCAGGGCAACGTGAATTCTAGAGCAGAACTGTGATATTGTGTGATATTGCGAAATTGACTTCGATATGCAATTTTCCCAGCACAATGTCCCAATTTTTTTTAATTAACTAATAATAGGATTCATAAAATGAAGCTAATTTTTTTTAAGTTTTACCTTTCTATAAATGCTATTTTGAATATCGCGAAAATCACAGCGACAATAAAGGAAGGCTCTGGTCAATTACTTAAATAATTTGCATCTCACTCTGCATTTAATTATAGTTTGCATTTTGAATATTTATTTTATTAATTATTAATTTTCATGGTTGAAAACAAGCTGCAGCGCATGTTTTCTTCGTTCCTTTTCCTTTTTTCACTCATATTAAATTTTTCATCGAACGCGCTTATCGATCGACACCTGGTAAGCCAAAAAACAGTGATTTTTCACCCACCTGCAGGTGGCGGAGGGTCAACTCCCCCCGAGACTCGACTTTCTCACGTGTCAACATGCAGCCTCGTTTTCCACCTGCCAAGGTTGCGTCGTGGTGAGTTCATGCCCTCGGAATTCAAAGCTTATCCTTGCAAATTTTTTCGCAACAATTGAAATCGTCAGTACTTCAATTATTTATTTGATTTATTCATTTATTCATGATATTCGACTGCATCAAGCAAATCTCAGTTTCATGAACTTCGGCGGGGGCGTTTGGCAAATTTTTCTGCACTCCCCGAATGCAAAATATTTACATAAACACCCTTATGCATATTCCTACATGCCAAAAAAATGATCCTTGTTACGGAATCTCGCTCCAGTTGAAAATTATTTCCTTTTGGTGTAGCCGGAGAGAAGGGAAAGTCAGCATTTTCACATATATGCAATATTAACGCAGGCGCTGGGCACGGTGAATTTCATCTTCTCCCCCGTGACATCCCAGAAGACCTTCCTCACGGGTTTGGGGACCTGTATCACCAACAACGTGGCGAATAACGCCGCCCTGGATGCGGCCTCCCAGGCCCGTTACGCCGTCTGTGCCATCGCTCTCAGCGTGAGTGCATTTTCTGCGGTCAGAGTGAAATTTTTTTTAGTTACGAATCTGCATTATTCGTTCGATTGCGTAGTGGCTGCCTTTGAAAATTTTCTTATCAAAAAGGTGATGTAATGATGATTTCTTAGGTGTTTTTCTTCTTTTAATATTAAAGTAAAAAAAAAACTTTCAACAAATAACTAAATGAGAAAGTTAAAAAGAAATCATAACTTTGAATTGCAGCTGCGATTTGATGAGGAAGACGCGGAACGTCTCCAATGATTTTCAACATATGTGCCTGGAAATAAATGCAAGGAAATTTTGCATGCGAAAAAAATCGGCCAATTCATTTCGAGGCACTTTGGAGCGGGAAAAGTGAAGTTCTTTCGGTCTCTTTGCAGTCAGGCGGGGGCTCAAAAATCGCGAACCTCGGAGCGTACTACAGCGGCAGGAACTGCATTTCCGTCGCCAACAACCAAGCCACGGCAGCCACGGCAGCCGCAACCAACTCAACCACGGCAGCCGCAACCGCTTCAACCGCCGCGACCACTACGAAATCTTCAGGCACTGGATGAAGTCGCGTTTCGTTCATGCATTTCGACTTTGTATCGAGTGATGTTTCCGTCCCGACACAAAATTGGCTTCACTATTCCTCCCACTGATTTTGGACCTGTCCCAGACCTGTCCCTGACCTGTCCCTGACCTGTCCTTGACCTGTCCCAGACCTGTCCCTGACCTGTCCCAGACCTGTCCCGGACCTGTCCCGGACCTGTCCCAGACCTGTCCCAGACCTGTCCCAGACCTGTCCCAGACCTGTCCCAGACCTGTCCTTGACCTGTCCCAGACCTGTCCTTTGAACACCATCAGCGGATCGCCTGAGGAAGGAGTTTACTCTCTGATTAGCCCCCTCTCATTTATTTACAACGTTGAAATTTGCCTTCGTTTTTCTTGCCGTGGAAGGTTCCAATCCAATGTTTGAAACATTCTTCGCCTTGCACATTTTCCGTTAATTGCATTTTAGGGGTCGCACTTTGGTGTCACATGACGAAAAATGCTTATGTCTTCGTCTTGATTTTGGCCGGTTTGCCATGACAACAACGGGTATACGTTTCTAAACAAAAATATTTAAAATCGAGGGTGGTCATGACAGACCTACGATCTGGCTCCATCTGAATTTCCCGGCTTTCCCGTCACTTTGAATCAACTCGTGCTAATATCAGTATTGAATCAAAACGGAAATTGCCAAATTTTTAAATGAGAATTTTCCTTAGGGGCATGGGAACTCCCGCTCAGTGTTGCCGAGAGCTCAAATGAATCTACCTAGCAAGCAGGGTTGTTGAATGGAAATAAACATTTGCACACTTCCGAGTCATTCTATTTTATTGCAAATTTTGAGTGGGTTCTACATCCCCTGATACGAAAAACCATTCCTACTCGAAATTGAGGTAAGAATATTTTAATTCAATTTCCTTATCTTTTTAAAGGCGAAAGCTTTCGCCCAGATTTGCAAACGGATCCCACAACATACAAATAACTGAAAACAATGGCTCGATGGCTTTCATTTCAAAAGATTCAATTTTCTAAATAAATTTTCACACAATGTCCTAATGAGTCTTCGTGTCCAAGGAAGACCAGGCTCGCATTTTTTCCAAAAGTAATTAATATTACCCTTGTAAATCCGAATTTAAAATTTCACTGAGCAAATGTAATGATTTTTTTCATGGTAAGATTGAACCGAAACCGAGGGACCGAGGGGTTTTCTCAGTCGCCGTCGACCGACAGCTCGGGCTGTCCTTGATTCCTCTCTCGGGAAAAGGCGACTGCGAAAATTAGACAACCGAGACAGCCAAAGAAACTCGCATTTGATGCTCGGTGTTTCTTTCAGAGAAGTTTCTTCCTATTGTGTCGACGCCTTCGTCGCAGAAATCCATGCAGATTCCTCGCGAAATGTCCCATGTAATATGCGCTTAAGTCAGACGTTGATATTTGCGCGTCGAAGACGGGGGGAGTTAAAAAATTCAACTTTTCTTCATTTATCTTTTATGTCGTCATTTCGAACAGAGAGAAAATTCTGAGTAATGCATGCTGCCGATTTTGAGAAACACGAATCTACTTTCCTACGAGTCGTTTCGTGAAGATCCTTTAGAGTCGTTTTTTGGCGAGTTGGTGCCAAAATCGGCTCATTTTCAGGACGTCCATGACTTCCCGAATTTTTACTCACGTTTGAGGGCGAATGCAAATGGGGATCGGAGTATTTTATCGAAGAGACTCTCCCGAACGGAGAGAGCCAAGAATGACGCTTGTCAGCACATTTTTCAGGATAGAACGTTCGAAACGTATCAGATTGTATATGTATCAAGCTCTTGCGCATTGACCCAGGTAAAGGGAGTGAGGACGCGGGGCGGATCGACCTCCGTCCCCCGCGGCTGCTACGCACGTTCCTTTCTCAAAGCACCAAACGCTGACAAGCGTCGTTTTTATCTCTATTCACGGGCGAGGAAAGGAAGTGTTTTGAAAAGCCACCAAATTTTGGCAAGATCAGATTTCTTTCTTGAAAAACGACTTAAACGAGTTTCACGAGTATGAGAAGAGTACCTCAAAATCGGTTGCACGTATACCACTGAAATGAATTCCTTTCTCGAGCAACGACTGCAAAAACGATTTGACAACCGTGCACAACTATCGAAAAACGTTCCCTGGCTTTTGACTTGCGAATATCTGCGTTCGATTTCAGCCCGGATTATCAGAACCTTCTAGTGACATGCAAACCTGAAAGACTCAATTAAACGGTTCGGATCCTGAGATCCCTTCAAATATTCTAATATTGCCCTCATTTGAGAGCAATATTAGATAATAATCTTTTCCCTGGCTGGCCAGTAATTCAGTGGAAACATGCCGGAATCCCATTTCCTTTTTCAAATTTGAAGGACACACCCAAATGTTGATCTAGCTTAGTCAGCGTTCTTGGGAAATGAATCTGCGGCCGAAAATGGCAGCCAATTCACCATATTTGACAGATAAATTCCTCCGAGCAAAAATCGCATGCTCTTTCACCATTGATTCAAGGAGACATCACTGGCATGCATTTAAAGGACAATGTCTCAGCTGTACGAAAGCGTTGGTTTAACACAATAAAGAGTATTGGGAGTTGTACTTTGGATTGCGTTTTAAATGGAACACATTGTGGATTTCATCCACATATCTAAATGAAGCAGTCTCACTCGGAAGTGCGCCAATCTTTATTTCCAGCCAACAGCCCAGCCAAAAATACTCGCAGATCATCGACGGAAAGTTTTCCGGCCGACGGACGGGACGGGCGTCGCGGAAAGGCCATCTCGGAAATCGGAAGCGAGGCTTAATTTTCGCGTGAAAGCGATCAGGCAAAACAATTAGAAGATATTCACGGCTAATGACTCTGCTCTAATTAAGCTAATTAGGCTAGCAACTACGAACGCCATTTAGCATCTTAAAATTCAAAATGAAAAAAAAATTCTGAAATGAAAAAAGTCTTCTTCCGGAAATTTCAAGCACGGAATTTCAGCTGCGGATCGACCCGGGAATTGCCTAATCGCTTCCGGAAATTCCGGATTTTTCCAGAAAAAAATTTTCCACGCCCGAGCGCCTGTACGTAAATGCGCTTCGAAGGTCATCGAGAGGGAAAGGGGGCGTGCCGATCCCACTCAACGCAGATCCCACACGCTGCACATCCCCGATTATGATTATGGCCCGATCGCCCTTTGTCCCGCCAAGGCCCAAAAACCGGGCCGGACATCCGACGCGACATTGAGTGGCGTTTGCTCGTGCGATCTCGAATTTTTGGGTTCCATGGCTCCGAGAACGGCGTTCGTGTTCGCCCTCCTTCTTCTTTCCTCTCGGGTATTTCTTTTTTTTTATTTATTAGCTCGATTAGCATCGCTTAAGAGGAACAAATTCTTGAATTCCCTCATTCTGATTTTTTTTTAATTCTACAAGGGAATTCTCATCCACTTCGAAATGATTATCTCTCTGAAATGATCAGATAAGCAGCAAAGTCTCTATGAGTAGTGCGAAGAACATGCAAGAAAATTTCCAGGGTGGTCCAAAAAAATATTGCTGCCAACTTGGAAAAAGCAATGAAAGTTCGGAATGTCAGATCGTACTTTAATAATAAATTTAAAATGCGGAATGAAATACAAGCATTAATATGCATTTAAACGAGAACGTAAACATCAATAATATATATATATTTTTTTTTCCCGGCAGGTGGCGGAGAGTCAATTGGTGAGATTGGACAACCTCACGTGCACAAAGGCGACGACTTTTTCAACTTGTCAGACTTGCGTCAGGGTAAGTTCCTTCCATCGAGGAAAAAAAAAAATAGGAACACAAAATGATCGAGATTTCCTCGCTTTCGGAAATCTCTATTTTATTGCGTTAAATTATTTCAATATCGGAATTTAAAAAATTTAAAGAACGTACTATTACGCCCATCGATTCGAAAGCGTTAAAAGAGTCTCAGCTGCACGAAAGCGTTCATTTCACATCCCTCAAAGAAAGGTCTTGGGAGTCATGGCCATTTTAGCAATGGCCATCTGGCGGTGGCTTCAAGAACGAACTCGAGCGAGACCACATGTCGGAGGTCACCGTGCGACCCCTCCTTCTGCTCATCTTGTGACCTCCTACAATAATTAAACATTACATTTACTTGATATGCAAATCATGCTCGTGATATCCGACATCTCGCGTTATTATTTGGAATTATTGGGCATTTTCAGAATCAAAGAAAGATTCGGTACAATTTTTTATTTTATTTGCAAATTTATTTGCAATTTTTAAAACCCTAATGGACCGCTCCAACTCTTGCACATTGATATTTATTTGTATTCATGAAGTTAATTTCATAATTTATAAACTTATTCATTTATTCATTTATTTTCTCCATTTATGTACCTCAACGCTTGGCGACTCAAGTTTAATTTGCTCGTTGAATTCACGCCTGAAATTTCGCACAGGAATGGCTAAATTTGCTTCATCCCCGATTTGGCAGTCGCGAGCGTAAATAAGGGAATAAGAAGGCGTCCGACCGTGATCCGTTCCATCCACAATGCAGGCGCTGGGCACGGTGAACTGGATCTTCTCCTCCGTGACATCCCTGCAGACCTTCCTCACGGGTCTGGGGACCTGCATCACCAACAACGTGGCGAACAACGCCAGCCTGGACGCGACCTCCAAGGCCCGCTACACCGCCTGTGTCACTTCCCTCAGCGTGAGTTTTCCCATCGCTGCTCTCAGTTAAAAAGGGAGGCGGTCTGGCTGCTGCATCGAATCGTGGAGATCGGGAAAGAGCCCAGAATTATATTTTCGATTCGGGCTTCTGGCGATTGTAGATCCCTAGCGGATGGGATTTAAACGATCCGGATTTAGTTTTCCAATTGGTTTTTGCGCCATCATAGCTTGTAGTCTCGGAAATTTGATCCTCTGCTACCATAACGGAGCTGTTGAAGTTGCTGGGATTTAAATTGCTTCAAGATTATTTCTCTGCGAGAACGACGAGCTCCCTCGAAGGACCCCGTGCTGTTCGTGCAAGTTGGCAATGGCTCGGAATGCTAAGAGAAAAGAATTTGTGGTCTCTCAGCTCTTAGGGTCGATGAGAAGGGTAGGTGGGTTGCAATGCGTCTTGACGCCCGTTGTTGAGAGCAGTGCTTTGTTTCGTGCCCAGGCAGTGTCCTGTTTCGTGCCCAGGCAGTGTCCTGTTTCGTGCCCAGGCAGTGTCCTGTTTCGTGCCCAGGCAGTGTCCTGTTTCGTGTCCAGGTAATGCGCTGTTTCGTGCCCAGGCAGTGTCTAGCTTCCTCACTTTCTGATGCGCTTACGGCCAGCCAAAGAATTAAAACGTGGACGGGAGGCGCTGGTCGCGGTGACGCAGGGAACTGCGTCGAATGCACAGGCGCCTTCACCGTTAATGGATTTGCAATGGATTTGCAACGGACCGGAATGGTGCCGGAAAGACGCAAAAGGAAACTCCCTCTTTGTTGAGTTTGAAGGCTCTCGGTTGATTCCTGCGAATGACCGCTGTCGTTTTCGTTCCAGTCAACAGGGAGCAATGGATTCGCGAACTGGGGCATTTACTTCAGAGGTTACGCGTGCATCGCACAGACAAGCGACGACCACGACCGGCTGAACTCCACCACTTTGGAAGGCCACACTTTGGAAGGCCACGCATTTTGAAGCTCTCCGTTCTCACATCGATGCGCCTGTTTCCGCTTTCCATATTTTCTTCATCTTTCTGCAACTCGGCAAAACCAATTGCTAGGTTTGTTCCTGCCTTTTATTTCAGTTCCTGATATCAGTCAAGAAAAAGCTTTTTTTCACGTCCATATTTTAAATTTATTTGTCTGCCGCCCATCGGATCGGTGCGCGGAACGCATGCATCGAAAGTAATGGTACATCCCACCGCCAACGACCTTTTCGACCGGGAAATGGCGGACGAGGTAGTGGGTCATTGGAAATGGGGACGAGGGGGAGTATGGGCAGGAGAGTGGGGGGGGACGGTACAGTGAGGGGCGGGGTTGCGGGTGCGATGGCGTGTTGGGGGGGGGGGGGGCGTTCTGTTCACAGGACGCTGCATTTTCGTAAGTCTGTCACTTGCGAGCGATGGACATCGTCCTAATCTTAATTTTACCTTGGCGATTTGGAACATCGACCTCTCCTTAACCCTGGGAAATAAAACTCTTACCCCTTAACCTCCAGGAGAAGGTACTCCCTACCCCCCTTTACCCCAGAGAAGAAGGAATCGCATTCCACTACGACTGAACGATTATTTGATTGCCTACTAGTTTCGTCATTGAAAGGTGCGGTGAATCCCTTGGTGTGATTCTAGCTGTGAATCTAGAAGAGCACGCTGCCAACTCTCGAAAATCCACCAACTACACCTGATAGCACTGTTGGACGGACCGTCTCGGAAATTGTGTTTCGAACATCTTCATTCAGTTAATCGATTCTTGACATCCAACAGGAGATACGCAGTATATTCAAGAAGATGCGCAGTGCATTCGAGAGGTTTCTAAGATTCATCTCCATGTGTGCCGCTCTTCGCGTCGACTCAAAAATGTGCTAAAGGGACATCTCGCACGGAATCTTTTTCTTAGTCATGGTAAATAATTCAAGCTAATCTTAGTCGTAATCTATTTCTTTTCTTTCCTAGTGACAATTCACATCATGCGATGCAATTAGCACGTGGCGTAGCGCACGAAGTGCGACCCAAAAGCCGAGTTTGAATCGGAAATAAATTTTCTTCGCATGTAGAAGTCATGAATTCGCACGGAATGATGCACGGGTCGAGGTGCCTCGGTAACGACTCCATCCTTTTTTTTTTAAGGTCCTTCACCTTCNGTCATGAATTCGCACGGAATGATGCACGGGTCGAGGTGCCTCGGTAACGACTCCATCCTTTTTTTTTTTAAGGTCCTTCACCTTCGCTGATATCTTATTATCCATAAAGAAAATATGAATCGCGTTTTGGAGAATCCCGAACCACCGATCGCGTAAAGAAGGAAAGCCCAGAAGCCCCGCTTCGAATCTCAAAACACAGCAATGACAATTTCGTTCTTAAAATTCGAAGGAAACGAGAAAGCGAAAAGGGCATCTCGCATCCCTGCGTCGATTCGGTGGCGCGAGCGAGGTGACATCCCCAAATATTTGGCACAGAGCCAGGACGAATGGGTTTCAAAGAGGACAGACGATAAATTAAAAACTTGCTAGATTCCGACGCCGTAGTTCCTGTGAAAGAGTGAGAAAGAGACGCTCACGCGAAGAGACGTGGTCGCACCGCTTGCAGCCGTGAGTCTGACGCAATGTCTCCGTCTGGTCCTTGCATCATCTCCTACCTTGTAACTCGCTCGCACGCCTGCTCGGCGTGCGAGACGAGAACCGAGATCGCGCGAAGTAGCATCGGTCGAGACTGCTTGCGGCGGGAAGAGAGGAAGGCGTGAGAAAAAGAAACGATCGGGGCACCAAGGAGGTCGAGGCGGCGAGGCGTCCGTTTTCCACTTCTGTCCTCCTGCGGCACGTTCTAAAGCGATCAAGGCTTTGTCGGGGCTCAAGGATTTAAGAGGTTCGGCGCATGCGCGTACATGCGACCACGCGAGACACAACGCGAACATTTTTTTTCCAGACGCGGTGAAGATGAATTAATTATGCAATACGAACTGCATCCGTCCCGAACGATACGTGCAAGGTTAAAGATATGACCCCCGATGAGGAGACGTTCCCCCAAAATCCATCGAATGACGAGGGCGAGAAATTCTTCTCGCCCTGGCCTTTCGCGCTCGACCCAATTTTGCAGTTTTTTTCCTGGTTCGGACGGTCGCGAATGCGATCGTGCTCTTTTACAGTTGTGTCGACAAAACTATTTGCTTCGCAGACCGAGGACCGAAAACGAAGGAAAAATACGCTTCCACGCTTCTTTTTTTCGCGTGAATGTGTAGAAGCGTTCCTAACTCGTTCGGGGTCATGTCATGTTAATTGAGGTTTTCCTCAGGCATGCCGAAAAGCATTCTATAAATGGGACATCACTTTCGAGCATCTAGGAAGTATTTCAAGACGGGTGAAGAGCAAATATGGAAGAATTTATTCATGGGTTAATTGAATATGTACGTGAGAACCATTGGGGCACATCATGTCCTGTGGACCAGAAAAAGGTCAACACCGACTGGGAGAACTCCAACGAAAAGTCGATCGATCGCCATCAAAGAATCCATTCATTTTTGAAGATTCCTCGAAGCGAAGCGGGCGATGAAACCCAAGAAGAGCCAGAGAAGAGAGGGAACATGTTTCCATTTGCAACTCCCCTCACGGAATATGCAGAACCTGCCATATACCTAGGTAGATGCCATCCAGACACCTTCCTCAACGTTACGATCGGAAATGAAAGGATGTCCACGCTTTTGATGCGAAAGAGAGAAGAAGAATGGTCAGTGTGACCCTGCTCGCATCGTGGGAGCATGCAGACTCCGCATCCCTCTTTCCCCTTCCTTCCTTATTGGAATCGCAAACATTCTCTGTCGACAGCTGCCTGCTCGGTGAATGAGCCGTGCGCGCGTCGAGTCTCGTGGGCCGGAAACCACGCCACGCACCCACGTCACACTAATGTAATCTCTCGAAATCTACCGTAACCATTTCTGTCGTCAAGCTTGCGTGAGATCTCGAAACGAAGCCGCATACCTACGAAGACTCTATTTAAACTCGTGGTGAGATCCGAGATGCTGAGTTCGGTCTGTTTTACTGTGAAGAACGAGGATGGGTCGAGAGTCAACTGACTCTAATCGAGAACATTTTACTCATTTGTGGAGCTTCCATTTCAATTGTTGATAAAATTTTAGTGTGAGCGTTCATATGATACTGTGAGATACTTTAAAGTCTCTCGTAATGCTTAATTAGAACACTATACAGTACTTGAGTTTACCAGAGTATTCGTTCATTTCATCGTCACCCCCACCCGCTAACTCAGCCTAGAGGCGATAAACAACGTCGTATGCGGCTATTTTATTCATTAGATCTTTGTTTGCATGGATACGAGAAAAATTCATTTTACTCTCCAAAAGATGTGCCCCCAGTTAGAGTAACATTTAATTTGTACCTTCTTTATTCAGCATATCAACAGCTAGTGGGGCACCGAGTTTTAGATTAAACATCTTCCCTTCTCGTCGGTCAAGATGCTTCAATAGCATTCGTACCAGTTACTATTTTGTTTAATAATCTTGAAATCTTGTCTCATTTCTTTGGATGAAATCACGTTTGTTTATTGCAGATCTCCCATCCCGATTGTCTGCAATAGATGTGTCTGGCGTGTGGAGAGTTGATCGTCGGTGGCAGCAACGGTCCTTGTTGGCAGATTCTCAAGTGTCGTGGAATCGGGATAAAAGCTGAAGAGACCTCTGTTTGAATTCTGTGAGAGAGTTTTGGTAGCATCGTTCGACGACATAGTTCAAGCTGGCCAAACCACGAGACCACGGAAAAGTAACGCTAAAACCAGACACCGGTTTTCTTTTTGACCTCGTCGAATACATCGATGACACCGAAGTGCGCACGGAATCGACGGGTCCCTGCGGCCGCAAAATTGACATAGTCAAGGAAGGGGGATTCCACAAGAAGAACGGCGAAAGAGTTTCGGAAGTAGCCGTCGGCGCCAAGGCGACCGTAGGAAGAGCTGCCGTGAGGTGGAATCTCTTTGCAGCCGACGCCGAAGGTCCACACGCCGGCGTGAAAGCTTACGGCAGACACATCCCCCAGACACCGATCGCAGAAGTGGGAGCGATCGCCGAAGCGAGTCTCGGGAAAGCTGGAGTCACTGCAGGCCCAGTTCGCGCTGAAGTCAATTTGAATGTGGGTATGGGTGCAAAAATCAGCCCTTTGGGGATGGAGGCGAAGTTCCTTGGATTCGGATATGAAATTGGCACTAGAACGGGCATCAATACGCCACTTGGGTCTTTTGGAATAAGATTTTGAGTTGATATGTTTTTGTCAGTTGCATTCCCTTAACACCCAAAAGAAGCAAATAGCTTCAAGTACCAACTTAGTTGTGTCATTGTTCAAACAGTTTCACCTTGTCAGATAGAAGCAAACATCGAGCTATTTTTTAAATGATGGTTGACATCATCAGGGAAAAGCAAGAAAAGCGTCGAGCAACGAAGTGAGAATAAATTGACCAGCTGGAGGCTTTGGCTTCCGAAGATCGCAGTTCTGATCAGCTGCAGCTAACACAAGGTCCGAGTCCACGGAGTCCAAGTTCCGCGCAGGAGCAGACGACGCTAGCGCTACCTATCGGCCGTGAACTGGGAACCCTCGAGTTCGGGAAACAATTCCACGAGCTCCCGTACTCGACAATAGGCTGCCTTGTTTCTCTAGAAGAACACTAAAGCTCCAAGGTGTGGAGACAAATCGGAAATGCATGGCAGTAATACTTCCCTTCGAAGCTGGTGATCCACTTATGAAAATTCGCATAAATGTTAGACTATAATTAACACAAAATTTACATATCTTTTTAATGAACGTGCTACTTGTGATGTAAACAGGAATATCAATTTTATGTAAAATTCTCGTCAGTTTCATATCACTGTTTGCGTATCACAGAGGTGACATTTCTGCAAACACGTCGACAATATCTTGAAGGTTTGCGTAAAATAGATATAAATGGACAAAATATTTGCATTAATTTGATATAATATTGACACTCATCATGTTGGATGGGCCACCTCATGCCTTGCTGTCCGAACATTTTGTTAGATGCTGCTCTTTGTAGAGGAGTAGAATGATTTTCAGGATTTCCCTCCATGCCTCTTCACGTTGAATACGCGTGATTGAATATGATGAACGGAATGCTGGGCAATAATACTCGCGGCTGGGCTCGGCTCGGGGAGACGGCGCGAGAGAAAAATAAATCTTAGAAGGAGGAGAAAGTATCCTCCCCTCTTCATAGCAAAGGAGTAAATATTTAAGAAAAGAAGGCTCTCGCGCCGGCGTGGAAGCTAATGGGAAACGCATCTCCAAAAAACCGATTGCAGAGCATGGAGCAATCGCAGAAGCGAGTCTCGGGAAGGCCGGAGTCTCATTGGGCATAGTCCACGCCGAAGTCAACTTGAATGTGAGAATCGACACCATGAAGATAGCAGCGAGAGTCCTTGGAATCGGATTTCCAATCGGCCCTGACATGGCCATCGAGACGCCATTTCATTTGGGACTTTTCGAATAGGAATCCGAGTGGAAATGGGTTTCTTAGTTATATTTCCTCGATAACCTGCGGAAATATATAGCATGAAGAACCGATTTAGTTGTGTCACCGTTATAGTAACAGATTGTCAGTACAAACGTTTCCTATTTCCCTGAAGGTCGAAATCTCGGGAAAAGCAAGAAAATCATCTAGCAATAGAGCGAGGATAAATCGACCAGCTGGAGGCTTTGCATGCCGAAGATTGCTAGATCTGATCAGCTGCAGCTAATACGATACTACAAGTATGCTTGCCTTCTTATCATATTTCCCCCTTCCTTTCCTCTTGAAATCCCGGACAGGAGTCGGGATGTCATGGATCGTTCCGTCGACCTGCTGCCCGATCGGTCGACGAGGCGTGCTCGCGTCGACTCCTGCGGCTCGGAAACCATGCCGCAGGCCCACGTCACGTCATTCGATTCCAAATCCGAACAACTACAGATGGATCGAGATTCAACTTCTCTCAGGAACTAACGTATAGGAAGGAACTCCTCCAGAGATTTGAATCACTTGCAGATATTTTTCTCGTGTCCTCGTCTGTCATCTTGCGACTCGACCCGCGCCTTCACCGACGAGAATTCCAATCGTAACCTAAGGTGATTTTCTCCTCGAGCAGAACTTTTCCCCGGATGGGACATTTTTTCCCCGCACACCTCGAAGGAATGAACCTGTGACAACTTTTGGAAGTCTCATTCGGCGCTCAAAAAGGGATGGAAGCGATGGGACCATTTGAGAAACCTCCTCGAAATCTGAATTTGCCGGATGCAGTGGAATGCCGATCTTGAATAACAGGAAGACGAGCTTCCGCCGAGCAGAGAACAGTTTTCCGGGATCGGCTTAGACGAGCGCGAAATCGAGAGGAACCTTTCCTGGCGGGGGCCAGTCGACCCTCGTTCCAAGTGAGCTTCGACTGCATTGCATTCTGAATGCATCGCTTCAAGTGTAGGGGGCTCCGACGTCATTTAACGTTAATGATCATCGCGAAGAGATCGCCAGCGTGTTCGAGGTTTATAATGACTCCGTTGGCTCTTTAAATATTCGATTACTTTGTTGTGACAACCAGCTTGGAAAGAGGAAATAAGGAGAACCAGAAAATGGATATGGGATAAAAATCAAAATTATGTTCCCTTAAATGCTTATTAGGCAATAGATACTCGACGAGCAATACCTGAATATAAACCAGAGTGGTATGGGTGGGGTGACTGACGGCATACGATCTCCAGCATTAACGTCAAGGGTCCACTTAATATCACACGTCTTCTATCGGGCTTCTCCTCGCTATCCTCCAATTCAGCTCCTGGTGGGACTCGGTCACTTGGCACACCCCGACCGACCGCGATCCTTTCATTCCGTTATGCCGGACATGCGCATTATCTTTTACGGTGATTTCATCATCTTTATAAAAGTACCTCCTAGAAAAGCTCCACCTGGGCCAAAATCACTCGCTTGCTCAGGCAGCACACGTAGGGGTCCAACGGCTCCTCGCTACGTCGGGGCCTTTGGAGACCTAACCCTTCGTCCCGTGTCGAGGTAACATCGACGATCATCACGTCTGGCCGACGTCGGAAAACCACATCGAGGGAATATTCAGAACGCACGTATAGTATGACTTTAACCCGTATGAGGCCCGAATTTTAAAATTAAAAGGACCCGAGAGAAAATTTACCTCGCTTATTCGTCCAGAACAAAACGATATGGCCCAGAAATATGTACAAGGAAAAAAATTCCTCGAGACTCAGAAGTCCCGCCGGGGTTCAACGTCGTGCATTCGTGAACGGCCCAAAGAAAACAACGCGAAAAAAGGCAGGAATCCAAGTCCCGGAAGGAAAAAGGTAAAATGACCGCGATGAACTTCGCCGGGAGTAAGCTGCAATGCATGTGAAATGTGTCAGCCTGACGCATTCCTCTCCGTAACGATCGGGAACGAAATGATGGCTGAAGGATGTCCATGTTTGGAGGTGAAAGCGAGAACACGAATGGATGAGGTGCATCTTACCCAACTCGCATCGCGATAACATGCCTGCCTTGCTTTCGTCTTTCCCCTTGGAAATGCGAAGATTGGAATGCCTGAATGCCTGCTCGCGAGACGAGAGTGCGCGCGTGGAGTCTTACGGTCTGGAACCGTGCCACGATCTCGCGTCACACTAACGTACTCTCTCGAAATCTATCGTAACCCTTTCTGTCGTCAATCTTGCGTGAGATCTCGAAGAGCGAGAGCGGAAGGAATGATGAACCTTAGTTCATCATCCGACTCTCATCGAGACCATTTTATCCTCTGAGGTGCTTCCATTTCAATTGTTGCCGGTGTTGGGGAGTGAGCGTTCACATTTTAAGGAACTCTTGAGTTTCTCGTGACTCTATTAGAATCCCGTGCTAGGTAAGGAGAGTCCGTCATTTAGGCTCGTCCTGGAGTCTCATCGTCACCCTCCCGCCACCATGAACCCAACCCAGGGCGATAAACGACGTCGTATGCGTCTATTTTAATCATCAGGACATCGTGTGGATGAATATGGGGAAAATGCCCCCTACCCCCCCTCCTCCGATATGTACTTTCAGTGGAGCTAACCTAAATAGTGTATATCTTATTCAGCATAGAAACCGCTTTAGCCCAGAGTTTTAGATGAAACATCTGCCCTTCTCGCCGGTCGGAATATATCAATAGCATCTCTACTAGTCAAATCTATTAAAGTCATGTTAAATCTTGACTCGTGTCTGTGAATGAAATGACGTTTGTTTATGGCAGGTCTCCCGTCCCAATTTCTTTGCAATAGATGTGTCTGGTGTGTGGGGATGGAATCTTCGGTTGAAGGAAGGGTCCTTGTTCTCGGATTCTGAGGTGTTGCGGATTCGGGAATAAATATACCGGATACATAAATACCGGAAGGACCTCTTCGTTTGAATTCAATCAGAGAATTCCGGTGAGGATCGTTCCGACGACATCGTTCAAGGCGGCGATGGCACGAAACCGAGTAACAATAAAACCAGATACTGGTTTCCTTTATGATGCTGTGGAGTATATCGAAGACGTGGAAGTGCGCACGGAATCGGTAGGTCCCGGCAGCTATGACTATATCATCGACAAGGAAGGGGGATTCCGCAAGAAGAACGGGAAGAGGGTTTCGGAAGTGGCCGTCGGCGCCAAGTCGACCACGGGAAGAGCTGCCGTGAGGTGGAATCTCTTTTCAGCGGAAGCAGAAGGTCCTCATGCCGGCGTGGGAGCTTACGGCAGTCACCTTCCCGAGACACCGATCGTAGAAGTGGGAGCGATCTCGGAAGCGAGTCTCGGAAAGGCTGGAGTCTGTGCAGGAGAAGTCTTCGCGTTGAAGTCAACTTGAACGTGAACACGGGTGCAAAGATCGGCACCACGGGGATCGAGGCGAAATTCCTTGGATTCGGATTCGCTATCAGCGCTAACACGGCCATCGATACGCCACTCGGGTCTTTTGGAATAAGATTTTGAGGTGAAATGTGTTCGTCAGTGGCATTTCTTCCATCTCGGTTCTCAAAATATATATGCACACGAATTGCACCCTGTCGACTGATATGCCTATTAGAGACCTGCGACATTACTTACCTTAAAATCATTTTAACGTAGTGCGGAAATTTCATAAGTTTTTCAGCTTGGAAGTCTATTCTACCAACAATACGAATTGCACCACCGATACAAGAGACCGAATACAAACACCATATGATATTGGACTAGAAAAACGTCGGAAACGATGACACTAGGATTAATTCTCGACGTACGAGCTACGAACAGGGATCGGAGAGGAGATGGTCGGGTGAAGTGGCGCTGCACTCCCACGCGCTTGCGTGTGAATCTCTTGAGACAGTTAATGCTTTGCCCCTAAGGCATATGAAGAAAGGCCCCCTTCCTGCATATGATGAAGTGTAAGACGGATTTTGACACGTGTCTAAAGATGCGCAACCACTCAAATCACCCCTCTCCTCTCGACTTACAGGGTGGGCCAAAAGTCCCTTTACATTACATATTATTTCATGCACAGTTGATGTGATGAATTAAAAAATGTGACCTGATGTGAAATCAGGCGCAGAATTCATTTGCGCTTAGAACATGATGGGGCACACGGATCCACCGGACAAATATTTTTTGTATAATCTATTGTATGATATTTTACTAGTATAATTAAAAAATTGCATAATATGGAGCCCATGAATTGGCTCCATCCGATCGGTGCACAAGGTTAAGAGTTATTGGTTAAAGAATGAGTTATGGAATTATTGAGCTGCGGTCCTGCCATCTGACATTTACACGAACATACATAGTTTCCAACAGAGAGTAGATATGGCGAACGAGTCGTCGTCATTGTGAGCCATACCCTTTGAATGCTTTAATTACTCGAGTAATTTCCGCTTGAGCTTCGTGGGGATAATCATAAAAATGTGCTCTCCTCCTCGTGGAGGTGATTTTCCACCAAAAACTTTGTCAATCGTATTTCCTCCCTTAACAGATCCTTCGGCCTATTAAGTCCGTGATACCGTGATGTAGGCGCCAATAACGTGCTCGTACACGGTTGCGAAATATTATGCTTCGGTTTGGAATAGATATCAGATATATTGAGGCCCAAGCGCTAAATGTCATTCTAAGATTCGTGGTGGCAAGCGAGGAGAAACTAGAAGAGAGAGCTGGCTTTTCAAGCCCTGGAGCAGAGGCATCTGGCAGAATCCCGACATTCGAAGAGAATGGGATCGGAACGGGATGACCCTCGCACTTGGTACCAAGGTGGAGGAGTGATGTCGAGAATCGAGGCACAACTGACTCTACCTCGAGCAGTAACAAGCCTCGAGTCACATGGGGTAACTGTGCAGAAAACAGAGATCCATACCGGTGCCAAAAGGCATCAGGCCGGTCGGTCGTTCTTGCCCTCTCGAAAGTAAGATCTTTGGACTCGTTAATCGGGACGCGAATCACATACGAGCGATTAACCTCGGCAGAAAGTCAAATCAATCAGAGAAAGACCGATGATGCTATAGAAATGCGAATATCGCCTGCAGATTCTGTAGTTGAGAAGAAATTTCAACGCTCACTGAATGTTTACGGATATTTCTGGGGTATTTTTGGCATCGAGGAGAGATGAGGCGTTAGCTTGTGTGGGCATGAGCAAGAGTAACCATATATTACGAGGATGGATCGAGTCATTCGAGGACTTTTTCTTAATTGCCTTCAATCATTGAGAAAATCGGAATCATGCATATGGATTGATAGTGGGGATCTCAAGAAACAAAGTTCTGCGATGAACTTTGTTGTCGACAACTTGCGTCGCCTGATAAGTGAAGTGACGGAGAAGTAATTTGACTTGGTTCTTGAACAGAGAATCATGAGCAATTTTTGGTTAAGGAAAGTATAAATACCAAGCGAATTCGAGACAAGTTCGGCGAAGACTCCAAACACTCGAAATATCGGCTGTGTTTAAGTGGTATTCTTATTTTAAAGCTGGGTGCAAAAGGGTGCTGTAAGATCTTAGGCAGAGCAAAATCATGGCTTCAGTATTCTGGGACGATTCCGTGGTTATTCGTGTGTGTTTTTTTTGTACACAAAGGCTCTTCCATTAGCATTGCCTACTACTGCAAGGTCCTGCATGCTGCACTTGCAGCCATTCGCAAAGAAAGTGCTCTTTCTGCAAGAGAACGCTCGACAAAATACAGGAAATGAAATCTCGGGAAAACTGGCCAGTCTCGGCTGGGAGTCTGTCGCACACCCACCCTAAAACTTCCATTTGGTTCCGAGAGATTTCCATATGTTTGGGCCCCCGAAGGAACACCTGGGAAGATAGAGATTTGAATCCGGCAGAGCTGTGAAAGAGCGCGTCCTAAAATGATTTAAACAGGGAGACACGTCTTTATATAATGCTATAGGCATGAGTGCACCGTTGAGAAATATGCTGCGATGTAGAGGGCGATTACGTGCAGATATAGCTAAAGTTTTTAAGTTGATGCATTGCAACTGAATGCTCCGCAAATAAAGTCCACGAATGATTTGAATCGCACTCGGATACAATTTGAAATGATATACATCTTTAATTTCGGTTTGTCCAGACTTTGCATCCGGTTTTGAAGCGTGGAATGACACGCCCTTCTTATTGACAGTTATTGCGAATATAAATAGAGCAGAATAGCACTTCACAGCACAGACAGGCTTTTAAAAAGCATGGAGTACCCAGGGCGTGTTATTTATTTTAGGGACATTTTCAAGGTCGGCATATTTACTCGTTCACGCGTTCTCCTCCGCCGCTTTATATAAGATAGCTTTATGAAATGCCGCTCACCACTCAAAATGATGATTTTAAGGCGAGATAACAGTGTCAATAAGGTGGAGTCTTTCCATTCCAGACGATGAGATGTCTCTCCCGGAAACCTCAACGATTTTCATGCATGTAACGGGAAATCTTAATCATTTATGGGTGATCTGGAACTTCCATGGATCATGGAACTTGCAAGTAGTATGACGCAGACGCATGCAAACCATTGGGTTAACGATCTCTCAATAAGAACAGCGTAACCTCGAGGTATTAATGTATTATTATTATGTAAGGCAGGGGTGGGCAAAATACGGCCCGCAGGTCGAATCACTAGATATGACTAGGAAAAGGAAAAAATTCGACTAGTCTTTTCTAGAATGGCGCTTTCTTGGGGTTCAGGTTATTAATTATGAAGATTTCATGCTTCCCAGGATAGTCTGGCCCAAATGTCGAGCGTGTCAACTCTGGGATTTCTGACTATGTCAGATTAGGAATCTTTTTCTTTTCCGAAGTGAGATTTTTTTTAATTCGAGCCATTTGGATGGATTTTGTCACAGACAGTCCTACAATAATAAATCAGTTGAAAATATCTCCCTTTGAAACTTCTGCTCCCAGGGCATTTACTTCCAAAGTTTGAATTTTTCTGCAGCATCCCAATAGGTAGTTATGTAGCAAGTTTCATCTTTCCACACTAGTTCAATACGCCAGGACAAGAAAAAATACTTGAAAACGTCGACCGCAAAAAATATCCCCCAGGGTATGGATATAAAATTTTGCATTTTTCCTGAATTCATCGTCTTGGTAGGCACGTCCATGCCAAGTTTCAGCTTTCCATGTCTCTCCGTTTTACTCGAGCAAAAACAATGTTCTGGAGGGGGAATGAGTAACGGGACATGGAAGGCAAAAGAAGCCAAGGAATGGCCTGGAATTGAACCCGGACATCCTGATTACAGGTGAGATATGCTATCACTACACCACCGAACCCGGGACATCCAGTTGAACCTCTCAATGCCATCCTCGTCCGTCACAATATATATTTTAAAAAAACTTTCCCCAAATAAATTTGTACCCCCAGGGTATGTATCTCCGAAGTCAGATACTGCCTCGTAAAAGGTACATGTGTACCAAATTTCAGATTTCTAATCTTTCTAGAACACGATTAGAATTAACGTCAGTCAGTCACGATCGTCTATATATATTAGATGAGCATAGATATGATGAAACGTGCGCACGTCTGCACAGCACTTGCAAACCCTGCTGTCTTCCTCACGGAGGAAGGACACGGACGAGAGGAACATGATGCATGACGGCACAGCCGTCGATGGCACGAGAGGAACATGATCATAGTCATTTTTCATCATTATTGAGGTATTTTTCATTTTAATTCCTTGATTCAACTTATAGCTGTAGGCATTGCAGTGTAATATCACGTTTTCTTGATTTGTTCATTTCCACTGCACACAATTTCAGAGTGGATAAACAGATACAGATACAGCAGATAAGTTGCACGAAAAATTAATCTTAGCTCGTCCGAAAAAGTTTCTTACTCTAACACATACAAGACGAATGCATAGCTTTGAAGTTCTGCTTCAATAAAATGCACGTTTTCACAGGAAATCAGTCACGCGATCGCAGCAGGTCCAACGGGGGAAAATGGTAAGTCAAACTCAGTCTCACAGTAACTTAGACAGTTGTTCGCAAAGAAATATATATTGATTTCTCTTGGGGTGTTCGAAATGACGGCTCCGGTGCTTTTGGGTAGAACTTGTTACATCTCCGTTGATTTTGCAACCCGGGTCTACTGCCGTACGACTCATCCAGTCCCAGAAAGGGTCAGACGGTGTGGACCCATAATGGGCTGACATTTCTTATGACCTGTGAAAGCCCAGCAGGAGACCGAACAGAGTCGTAAGAAGGGCCACAGCGGCAGACTTGGAAGCTTGGCGTAAGACAGTCTACGAGAAAGTGGTTCAGGGCTTCGTTATGACAAACGAGCTATTTGGGCTTCTTTGCGGATTAAAAGTGGTACTTTCTGGGCTCGGACGTGCCGTATCGGGATGTTCAATACTTAGATATAGGAAAAGTCGAAAAAGAACAGGCCCTTGACAAACGAGCGGAGTAAGTTGCGCTTTAAAACAGCTAGCGGTGAAAATGACCGTTCCGGAACTTCTCGTGTCACAGGAACCGACGATGCCGAGCGGGATACGTTCATTTTACAGATTGACAGCAGTATAAGAACGAAAAAAAAATCAACCTAAGTTGCTAGAACCCCTGGCACGGCTCAAGTCGCGACGAGATTTCTTAACTTGTAGGGTGGTGTGTGCGTGGAACGGATAAAGTGAGCACGTAGTGGCTACCCCTTCTGTGACTTGCTTCAAGAGGAGGATGGTTCACTTAATGAACAAATAAAGGTATTAATGTAAATTTTAAGGAACTAGGCATTAGGAGGGCTAGACAGTAAGAGACTAGGATATGCTAAAAAAAAAAAGACTTGAAAACCAATAATAAAAAAATCTAGCTTGAAGAGGAGTGGGCCTCTCCCATATTAACAGTACTGGAACGCTCGACCTCGACGCGGGATATCCCTACGGGCGTGATCGCATATCGATGTCACTTCCCAAAGCTTCATAAATTGATCAGAATCTCAGAGCAATAAAAAAAGATTGAAATATGAAATGAAAGGGGTCTAGAACGATTGGTCCTTTCCCTCAAGACATCCTACATATTGACATCGAAAAATGTAGTGCGCACTGAAATGACATTTATTCTGTTATTAAGGAATTTCTTTTCAACGCCGCTTTCGCTTCCTTCCATTAATCTTCAAGGGATAAACGAAGGTAGTACGGAAAGCATCCTAGGTTCTATTGAAGTTTTAATAAAAGCAAGACAAAAATATTATTTTTAGTTTCTATTGGATTGGCCGGAAAGTTATTGCAGTTTCAAACAATATTTGAAAAAATAATTTTATTCCGTAACTATACAATATCAGTCAACAACGTAAGCATGATTGTGTTCCACTAGGGTAAAGGCACCAGTTTGTGGACGGGTTAAGCAAATTTTCCTCTCGAAAATTGCATTACGGTCGTTTGGGTGACCGAGAAACCGCTTGATTGGTTTCAATGGGAGGCCACTCATCACAGTTTGATGTCCATACCCTAAAATAAAATATAATTTTCCAACGATAGCTGTTTAATTGAATACGTGCTGATTTTCACGTGGTTCCTATTTGTGGACATCCACGGACCTATTATGTGGTCACCAGTTTTTGTCAGAAATTATTAACGTGCGTGGACCGAAAAGAAAAATATGAGCATGTGATACAAGGTATGTGCCGCAGTTTTATTCATCCTCAATGAGGTTCTCTTAAGAAATATTATTGGAAAAATTAAGTAATTCACTGGTGCTAAATCTAAAACTATGCGAAAATGTCCAAGTTCACTCATGCTGATGGGTATGCAAAATTTATTTGGTTGCTGTCAGGCACGTGCAAAATATGCAGCATTTGAGGAAATACATTTTCTACTTGAATTTTGTATAATGGCAAAAAACGCAAAACTGTCCACAAATAGGTGCCCGTCCACAAACTGGTGCCTCTACTCTATATGTCTCCACCTTCCAGCCAGGGAATGGACTCCGCCATGGTAGGACGATGAGGGCTGAGACTCTAAGAATTGTCGCAAGTAGCTTTCGAAGTCTTTCTGGCCGTCCAACTTTTTCACTTTGAGGCGGTTCTGCAGTAGTCCGACGGAGGAAGGTCTGGGGAGTACGGTGGGTGTGGCAGAATCTCCCATCCGAGGGCGAGGAGTTTCAACCGGGTCATCTTTGCGGTATGCGGTCGGGCATCGTCGTGGAGGAACAGCACTTTGTCACGTCCTGGCCGAGCCGTTCAGAGTTTCTAGCTCGATCTCTCCAGTCGGTCCAGTAGCAGGCCGCCGTGATGGTGGTGTCGGGAGGAAGCAACTCGAACATCACACCTTTCACGTACCTCCATACGGAGAGCATCATTTTGCGGGGTTGCAGGTCACCTTTCGGCTCCGGCTGCGGCTCATCATCGGCGTCGACCCACTGACGCTTGCGGGCATGGTTCGCGTAGTCATCCACTTCTTACTCTCCGTGACGACGTCGTCGAGCCAGTCGAAGAGCCGTCGGCGGGAGAGGAGAAATGCACAGGTGTCGGAACGACGGTCGAGGTCCTTCCGTGTCGAGGACTGGGGTATCCAACTCCCGAGCTTCGAGACCTTCCCGATCGTGGTCAGGCGGTGTTCGATCGTGGAGTGGGAGCACCCAAGGACGGCGGCCATGTCGCGAGTGGTCATGCGTTACATCTCTCTGCGTCTCATCATCCGACTCCGACGTGCGTCCCGACCTCGACTTGTCTTCGACACTATAGTTTCCGGACCTGAAGCAACCGAACCGATCGAAGCACGTCTTCTCGCTGATGACTCCTTCCCCAAACGCCTGGCACAGACGGCGATGGGCGTCGGCTGCCTTCTCTCCTAGACGGAACTCAGAGGAGGCAGGTGCGGAGCTGTTCACGGTTGAGGTCGAAATTATGGCTCATACTTGGCAGTAAAGGATCGAAGAAGGGAGACTATTTATAGGTGAAGCGGAAAATTCTAGAAAATTCGTGAGGCTCCCTATTGAGAAAAGGCGAAAACTGCAAGAACTTTCCGGCCAACCCAATACTTGCCTCTACTTCCGATGGAATATTATAATTTACTTTTGATGGCTTATTGTGTCTCTCTCCACCTAGTCTGGTAAGCGTCCTTCATTTACTCACCACGCCTGTCAATCGTCTTAGCTCTGAAAGGAGGGAAAAAATTCCTACATCTGGACGTGCATCGACATCGAATAATATCAACTTCATTGGACAAGCAACTTTCGTCATCGCACTGTACATGCTACAATTGGGGTTGCATTTTTTATCCTCACCCCCGACATCGTCTCAGAAAGTTAAAATGACTCATTCCTGGACACTAGAAGATAAGAGTTCAGTAAACAACATACATTGGAGTCAAGGCGAATCGAGGTGATGGAGAGGGTGAAGGAAAAAGGTAGGCACTTTTCTTACTTGTAAAAAAAAAATAGAAAAGAAAAAGCACGCTGACTCCAATTTTATTCCTTCTAATTTTCCTCATTTTTTCCTCGGTAAGGTGGGAAAAATAGAACATTGGAGTAATTGTATTTCTTCTCACTGTATAAGGGTAGGGAAACTGGCGCTGGCATTTGGTGTTTTTTTTCATATGAGTGCACAGTTCAATCTCACGTGCCTGGAAAGAAGAGGGCAATCGGGAAGTGTCAAGTGGTGCGTATCAGGCGAGAGCGTGTTATTTGCTTGGAACGTCTCAGTCCGTATAAATAAAGATCGTACTTCTTTCCCCGTTCACTTGGGATCTCAAGCCCTAGCTAGACGGTATAGGAGAAGCAAGGAAAAGGTCAATGTGCCATTCCAAATTTTGAGTCATCGTGAAAATTCTTTCATCTGGAGGATTGAGGGAATCCTGGATATCTCTTCATCCTCTTCTCTCTACTGAAGTTTGAAGTAAGCTCTCTCATCATCATTCCACCTTTGAATTATCGCATTTTGGGAAATATACAGATCCTAACAAAAGTCTGTGACAACTCTATTTCGGATATCATTTTCTGCCTACACTATGAATTCTACAACTTTAAAGTCATGGAGACATGATGCAAATGTCGGTCACAGAAATCCGTATGATTGTTCGATCAAAGTGGAATTTTAGGGTACACACCCTACAATCAGTCATTTCCCATGAATAGAGTCACTCCATGGAATTCCATGGAGTGGCAAGTGGTCTTTCAAGTTGGTAATTTGGCACTACAGACGCATCAAAATATTCACATTCAAGCCAATGAGTGCCAATCTGGAATTTGGTATCGTCAGAAATGGCATATCATGGCCTTTTTAATGAAATATTGAAACAAGGAATTCACGAGGTGGCAAGTGCCGATATAGGCCACTGAACTTGATCAAACTGTTTGATCAAGTGAAGCTTCTTGCTTCAGCTTAGAATAATGTCTGAAGTCATTTTAAAGACGGCAATCTCACAAATTAACCCTTTCAGACCTGAATTAAGGCCGCTATCGGAATAATATCCATTTTAGCATTTTTTTTTAGCTCTTTCGTGATTGTAATTGAAATTTTCATCCTTTATATGTAGTTTTCATATTTTGTATAAATGTACCATATCATACCATATATTATATATTTAATTAAATAACTAAAGATTACAACTCTAATAGGTGAGAGAAGGCCTCTGAGAGAAGTGAGCCATGCATAATTGGGCCCATTTTAGCGTAATATGCAGTGCAAAGTCGCAAAAATCCTAAGAAATTGCCATAGACACAATGTAAATGCAATGTCCATTGGAATGGACGCCAGGTCTGAAAGGGTTAAATGACACAAGTATGAAGCTGTTATCTTAACTAGACGGGAAGCTATTGTAGAAAGAGTTTCACAATTCAAGTCCGTATGGGCGCTGGGAGCGAAAATTAAGTCTCATTAAAATGTATGTGTCTGGAGATCTGTGGTAGAGATAAAAAATTGGCTGAATTGGTATCTTTAAATTGATTCCTCTCTGTGTATGCCGATTTTCGTGAAAATCCGAGATGGTCGAGCTCACTCGCTGGTCGATTTGGTGTGGAATGACCCAATAGCTACATCTTTTCAGACAATCTTGTCTGAAAAGGATCCCCATATTATTTCCCAGTCATTTCTGATTTTTTAAATACCTTGTATATGGGCCATTCCGTGCCAACTGACCGAAGAATGACGCTCGACCGCCTTAGAAAAAAATTGAATATTTTCGGAGTTTACAGGTCCAACATGATACTCAAAAATCCATCTAATATACGATCGTGACTGACGCTAATTCTAACCATGTCGTAGAGAAGCTAGAAATCTGAAACTTGGTACACCTGTACCTTTTGGGATGTAGAGTTCAGGAAAAATCCGACTTTGGAGGTACATGCCTTGGGGGTACCCATTTTATGGGGAGACGTTTTCAATTGTATATATTTGCATCCGTCAGACGGAGAGACCTGGAAATCGGAATTGACGTGCCTACTGAGACAATCATTTCATGAAAAAAGTCAATTTTCATATGCATGCCCTGGGGGCATATTTATGGGGGGGTGACGTTTTTAAATAATTTTTTTTTTCTCCTACCGAAATGGGCAGATATTGAATAGAAAGGTGAAACTCGATGTATAAAAATACCTATTGAGAACCTGAATTCAGACAAATTCAGACTTTGGAGGTAAATGCCCTAAGGGCACAAATCTCAGGGGGAGATGTTTTAAATATATTTTTTTGCTTCAGTCAAATGAATAAACATGGAAAGTTGAAATGTTGCATGGACGTATCTACTGAGATTCTGAGTTAAGAAAAAATGGCAAGATTTTGATACATGCCCTGGGGGCATATTTTTTTGGGGGAGACGTTTTCAAATAATTTTTTTTTTCTCACTGAGTTTTACAGAGATAGAAATGTGAAACTTGGCACAGCAATAACTGAGGTGGTGGTGAGTTCAGAAAAAAATCAGGTTTTGTGGTGCATACCCCGAGGGCACAGCTTTCGGATATGTCGGCTTTTCCGAAGATATTTTTGCACCAGGAGAAAGAGCTAATGGATAAGGCTGAAACTTGGTATGTCCGCAGCTCTCCGAGTACTGATTAAAGAAAAAATGTTTATTTTTAGATAAAACCCTTCAGGGTTTTACTTAAAGAAACCAGAAAATTACCAGAAAATTTTTACTTTTTTCGGAGGTGGTCGAGCGACATTCCTCGGTTAGTTGGCATGGAATGGCCCATATGCAATACATATATTGGGAGGGCGAAAAATTATCTTATAGACTGATTATTTACTTGGCTTTCATAACCTTCAAAATAGGGCTATCGAAGAGAACTTACATTGGTTGAAATGTTATGCCTGATACATTAATCCAATGCGCACAAGAACACGGGATAAATTGATCTTTTGAATGGGATATGGATGAGATATCTCAAACTATGACCCAGAAACAAACAAAGGGTGATTTCATAAGCAGTTCTTAGTTTCCTATTCACGTAACTTTTATTATGACATTGTGGAAGCCAAATTGACACAGAATATGAAGAAGACATGGGAGATTCGGGTGGGTTCAAATACATGGATAATTCTTGCAAAAAACCCAAGGTGGTAGCACTGTGGAGTCAACTGTAAGATGCAGAACATATGTAGAACATCTGTACCCTCACTTCCCTGTTGAAAAGAGAGGAAAGCCCACCATGTTAATACACTTCTTCACTTGTGTTTAGTGTGATTGATAATACTGATCTGGTCTTGACCCCAGTTAGTATTACAGGGTCTTTGCTGCGTCCAGATGTATTGGTGCCATGCATGTAAAAATGCCACCTTCCTTTGAATATTCCCGTCATTTCTTCCAGCATCGAGTGAAGGCATTGCAGTTGACGTTTCTGATCATCATGGACTGAGTGGAGTGGAAAATATGGGAACAGGCTCGAGCAAAGGTTCGTCCTCCCCCTTCGAAATCGATAAAACAAAGAACAAGACAGTGAACGCTGGCATTAGCGAGGGACATCCCTATTCTGGTTCCAACTACGGCGTTCCCAAAACTCCTTCCTCTTCAAACAAAGGCAGCAATCAACCAAGTCCGACCAGCTCAGAAGCCAAGAAGGAAGAATAGAAGAACGTTCACCTCTCTCATTTCCATTGTTTGCTTATTAACCCTGTTATTAACCTCATTTGCTTCGTTTGCTTGCCATAGTTCGTTTGGACCGATTGAATACGGCATATCATGGGCATGTGGGAGTGCTATGGATGTTCCAAGCTCGGTTTGGTCCCACAAAAGTCATATAAAGGCAAAGGCAAGTCCATGGAAGAGGATACATGGCTTGGGATTCTCATGTTCGATCCTTTATCTGAAAATGAGAAAGCAGATATCTTCTACGTCTGCAGCGATCACCTTCAGGATATGCTGAAGGAGATCCAAAGCTATATTCAGTGCGATGCAGGAAAGAGGATTCTTCAGTGGGGGTATTACAAATGCCACATCAATGAGACAAAGTTCTGGCGTCATCACTATCTAGTGTTCAAGGCAGACGATCGGTGGTGGTCGGTGGAGAAGAGCAATTTAGGTATCCATGTTCGGCGAAGCCCCAGGAAAGAAGATGTCCGAGACTTCGACTCTGTGAACAACGAAACGATTCCTCGACGGGGAATCGTACACATCTATGATTCCGTGGAGTCGGATTCATATTTTTGTACAATCGGGACGATGATCGCACATATTGAAGAGTCACTGAAAGGTTCCTATCATTCTGTGGGGAGAAATTGTCACGATTGGGCATATGATACTGGAACGCAGATAATCGAGACCAGGTCCTGGAGGCAACCCATCGTTGTTTCGCAGATCAAGTGTTCCCACCTGGGGAACATCTTGAGTTGAGATCACAGATAGCTAACACAGTGTGGCATAGAAAACTAGCTGAGATGCTGTAGTAGGCAGTTGTGGCTATCATGCTTTCACTCAAACCGGTGCTTTATGCTTCATATCTCTATATCTGCATGCTCACATACTGGATGAGACAAAAAAAAACGCGCTGCTCTTTGAATTGTTGTGGCACCTCTGAAACAGCAGCTAGAACTATGAAATTTCTTTCAAACACACTTTCTCGGGATTTTTCCATCTACACTTCAGACCTCGCTAAGCAGATTTCTGTTTCGTCTTTACATTTGGTAATTTGCATGCAATAATTATGCATCCCATGTTCACCATCTTGAGAGACAACGACTTCTTCCCCATAAACGCAATTTTCTTCAGTTCCGGCTAATTTTATTCTTTCGCTCCTTCGCTCTCTCTCAGATAAACCGTTTCCTCACAGCTTGTGCATCAATCCCTCAACAATAGGCTTAAATTTCTTTCATCCTAAACCTGGATATTCTTTGAAAATTCTGAGCACCAAATCCTTCCGCAAAGAGCAGCATTTTCATGGGGAGAAGGTGAAGCTATGGCCCGAGATTTGTGGGCTCCACGCCTAACAACTACACTTTCGCTTATATATTTCCTTGCGCAAAAATGAATTCGAGTCGTCTTCGCGTTTTTGTTCTTTGGGCTAAAAAGACTGGAGGGAAAGGAACCATGAGTTTAAGATGTTTAAAGGATACGTAGAAGCAGTTGCAAAAAAAAATTGCCGTATTATTTTCTATCTTTTGAACCGCAATGAAACTGAAAGAGCGGCGCGGTATGAAGTACGCTTGTTTCGCCGTCTCACTTACCAATCAAGTATGTCGTAACGATTTTTCCTCAATCTCTGTGAAATCATGCTGTACAGTCTCAACAATATGACAAATAAAGAGAATTATGAAGATCATGGAGAGAAGAGGAGAGAATGTGTTAACTGGATGAAGCTTCAAGTTCCCTGCGAAACTGACACAATTTCCAAGTCAATTCAAGAGCTATTGCTCATTAACTTTAAAATGAACATTTTGAGCGAGTCCTCTTAGGAGTTCCATCCTAGGCAGCATTATAAAAAAAAAATTCACACCCTTTCCACACGTGTGGAACGCATGTGGAAAGGGTGTGGAATTTCCTCATGATGAATACGAGGGCTGTCCGGAAAGTTCTCTGCATTCATATTTAAAATGAGTTGCACTCGATGAATCTGTATTAAATTTCGGTGAGCACTGGTTATGTCTAATAGTATTCACTGTTCGAAGTTCGGTATATATTTATCTATAAGAGGACGAGCTCACCAGACGGGCTATTACAGTTTAACGTTTCGTGGACTCTACGACAAAAATATACGATCGAAGCGAGCCAAAGGGGAAAAAAGGTGGATTTCTCGGTGATGTGTCATTCACAAAATTATTTGATATCTCAACGGCATCCCAACAACATCACATATTTTAGAAACATGTGCACTAAGGAAAGTAAGGAAACGGTTCCGTATGACTTTAAGCCTTTAGAGTCGTCGAGACGTAACTGAAAATAGTAATTTGCTCGGGATTCCCGGAGGCTTTGGTCGAGGATGGGGAGACGAAAGAATCGAAACTTAGAGCGTTTAAATGTACCTTCCCGACATTCGTGCGGTGACGGTGGAGCGGTGGTCGAGTAGTCGAAATGAAGCGCATCGTTCACGAAATCAGGGGTTCGGATGCGGACGACAAAAAATTCGGCATCGGCGGAAGAGAGAAGGAAGAGAGTGATCGGCATTCCCGGAGAAGACTTCTGAGGCAGGTTGAACAGTTCGGAGTTTGTTTGAGGGATAATGGGTGGCGGCGGTCGTGGAATCGGCATTCGATGTACTAACCCGGAACGACACCCTGACACGGACGGATCATCAAATCATGTATATGCCTACGGATGAGAAATGGCCGGGCATCGATTTCACCCAAACCATCCCTGAGAAAGAGGTTTCTCCGGCGCATATGGAAGTTTTCGTGAGATTCAGATTTCCCGATGTATTGGAAATGTGTTGCACGGTTACCCATGCCAAAGACACGCTTCGTCCACCTGTCTGCTTGCACGGAACGCCCTTCATTCCGAACCGTTACGCGCGAAACTGCGTTTCTACGCAGATCTGCGAGGGTCCCTTCGTTCCCTCCTCCTTGGGGCAAATACGTCATCAGAGACCTGGAGTTCTCAAACGTAGAGCTCCATGCGGGTTACGGGCCGGCCGAGTCTGAACAACACATTCCGCTGATCGGAGCAGGAAAACGCGGTCGACGATTGCGTTCTGGGCCGAGTGCGGGCCACGATTAGAATCGAGCCGATCGAGTTTCGACTCGGAAAAGTAAACCCGTGCAGGCCTCTGACGCGCAGAAAGACAAGAGAACCCAGAAACGATGTTCGCCGCGTACTTTTTGGACTTTTGACCCAATAAGTCCAGGTCATGAGCTTTCGATCGACACCTCAATTATTAAAATTCGTTTCTAGGAGGAGTTTCCCGGAATGAAAAACATTTTAGCCTCTTACGTATATGGACGGATGGATGAATATTGAGGATGGATGGATGGATGTTTCGACCGTTCGCTCTCACCTGTGTCATTTCACCAGAGACGTGGTAAATAAATATTTGCCATGTCTCTGCATTTGACAGTAGAACCGATGGCGGAGAAGAAGAACGCAGTGAGTTTTCGTGAAGTCCATTCGCCCCCGACGCGGTACGTGAACCTGACGCGCTTCGAAAGCTCGGCTCGGGTCGGTCGGTAAAGAAATGCATCTGGGGTTCCGGGAATTCGTGCCTGAAGGCGATTCAGTTACGCGTCGATCGCGATGACGTTCGTTCGGACGGAGAGATGAGATGCCGTCTGCCTCGAACGAGTTCGTAGAAAAAAAGATGGATTCTCTGGAAACGTCGAGAGACATGAGACGTTTCTTCTCTGGTGTCTTCCATACCTCTTCCGAGGAAAAAATACCTAGGACGGTTTTCGTCGCAATTCGAGTCGAATTAGGAGTAGTCTTTCGTGCCGTTGCCTCGGTGACACGGTGTTGTCGGCTTCGACTCGCACGAAACCGAACGCGTTCTTCACCGCATGGAAGTCTACCCGAACGGGCGAAGTATCGATTTCCCCATGTTTCCACGTGAAACGTGGAGAAAAGAACTATCGGAAGGGAGAGGCGGTAGCCGCGGAGCCGGGAGTATTCCACGGGGATGCGTTCCGTCGCGATGGTTACGGCAGCGGTGATCGTCGTGCCGATGACGAGAGTCCGAGCAAATTTGGAACCGTGTCGTGGACGATTCGGATCGCACGTACCAACACGCTTCCGCTTCCAAGCACATCGCAAAACCTTTTTTCTCTAGTGACACTTCGGAGACGAGACACTTGTCGGTGCCAAGCCTCATGCCAAATGCATTTTGAGGCACTTCCAAAAGTGAGGAATCCCTCCGATTTCGACCAAGATCATTCCTAATGACATGCTATCATTTAGTCGATGTTACTTCTTTTTTGCAATAACTAGTAGTTGGTTTTTTTTTTTCATGGTACAGTGATCTATGGGACACCCTGTTCATCTCTCTCTCCCTCTCTCTCCCTCTCTCTCTCCCTCTCTCTCTCCCTCTCTCTCTCTATCACTCGCTTTCCTCGCCCTACATATTAGATGATTTCGTCCTCTTCACTTCTTGGCAGTCACAGTTCAGTATGATGGCAAATGTTTTCTCGAACTGCTTCGACAACGTGCTCTCTTTCTCCTCTGAATAAATGACATGCTTCAACATCAAATTTATTGGGAAACTTGGGATGCAGAAGCACAGTTCGACCGTTTCCACACGGCATGGGACAGCGGGGAATCCAGAATTTAAACGGCCCATAGCGGCTTCCACGCAAAAATACAGCCGGCTCAAAAGTCGGCGGGACGGATCGAACTGGAGGATTTCCATTCAAATGATATGCACGAAGACACGCTTGCATCTGTCCTTCTACCCTGGCACTCTAAAAATTAAGGAAAACGAGAAGATAGGAATTTCACAGGTGGTTTTTCCAGGTGCAATGGGCCGAAGCCTCTCCAACAAAAATGATGGAATGAACATCAGGCGGAGCACGGTTTTCAAAGTGCCGACTGGCAGCTGGTCGCCTCTAAAAGCAACAAAATTCATACAATTTAGCCTTTTGTGTCCTTGGACCTTTTTCGTTACGGCATCGGTCTCGAGATCGTATGAGGCGCTCGTCGATATCGTCGAGATCATACGCGTGAAATTTTGTAAAGAGGCGACGTTACGAAACCCACTATCATGGCAGCGGCTCTTCTATTCTGTATTCCCCGTCGATTTCGCTCTCGGAACATGCGGCA